CCGATTTTGAACAAAATCAAGAACGGTTTACTCGTAATTTGAGAAAAGATAAGAACGATTTACTCCGAATTTCGGAGAAACCTGAGGGATGATTTACTCCGATTTTGGTTTTTTCGAATACTGAAGTGCTGCTTTCTCCGAAAACTGATATTAAATGTGTTCTTTGAAGAAGCTTTCTTAACGGACTTAGATGACTTATTTCTATTTTTTTTCGCCTACGTCTGAGAAAATTACAGTGAATGCGTTTATGCAAATTTAATGAGTGATGCTCATCAATTATTTATACTTCACCATGAGCTCAGAGAATTAGGGGCTTATTTTTGGAGACCTTACTCCCATTTTTTTACTTATATCGTTTCATACGTATAAAATCTTATAGTTAAGGAAAAAAGTGAAAGAATCACACTCATACAGAGTGGCTTTTCAGATAGCAGAAGTTCAAGCATCAGATGGAGTAGTTATTACGATTTCTTTATGGTCGCCACGCGACAATAGCGAATGAATTGCGATCACGAATTTAGCGCGATTATTCTCGGATCACGGCAGAATCGCGATTATTCTTGTGATATGAGAACTCACGACTAAGTGCATCCGCTATAGTGTCACTAAGACATATAGGATGTTAAAAATTAAATTCGAATTAAAAGTCATTGGATGAAAACTTTAGGTTTAAATAAGCTTCAAATAACATTTCATTTCTCCATATTTCTTTGTTATGCTCAATCACAGCTACTGAGATCTCTTATGAGGGCGCCACTAACAGACTGTGTTGGAAATTCATCATAAAGCGCCCTCGATCTCAGTAGCTGTGCTTGGATGGAGGCAAAACCGCGATCATAAAATAAGACTCCTGTTTCACGATCACAATACGTACTTGTCACGACTCGCGGTGCGATGAGGACAAGAAAGCTGATTTGGGGTGGGTTTTGATTGCAGAAAACAATCAGAAGAGTGTTCAAAACTTTGACGAAGGGTTCGAAGTTATTTAAATTCGTAACATGGACTTTAATAAACTGAAAAGACATAGCTGACTGGTTTATACCTTGTTTGAACGAGCATGGATGGAACGTCGTTTTTATATAAGATAGAATAAAGTTTCATTACCTTTCCATATCCTGGAGTTCAACGAAAAAAAGAGTTTTAAAATCGAATACAAAAATCCACGAGAATCCTTCATACTTCTCGAAGGAACAAGGCCTGCCCCCGGATCCGAAATGTCGATTTTCGGCAAAAATATTGATTTTCAGAAAAGCACATGGTTGGTAGCCCAAAGTGTCTACTTTCTAATGACGTAATTTTTGTGTCGATAGAATAGTTTTTTCATAGCGTTTGAGCGAGTTTTCCAGGAGTCCCATAGCAAAAATATTTGGCTTCTTTTCACTTTTATTGCATAAGCACATGCATGTGCCGCACATATTCATTAGATCCGCCATGACTGATAACCTGCAGCAAAATATCGACAAATTATTTAACGTAATTTTGTTTTTCATATTGACATGGTTGAATAGAGCTCATCGAGTTGCACAAGATAGCATCAGTTGTAGTCGTGACAAAATAGTTTTCCTGTGAAGCATAGATGTCAAATGAAATTATGCGGTCGCAAAGTATGGAAAAATTAGGAACTTTGCGTAGCATAAACGAAGAATAAAAATGATAGGAAGTATAGGAGCGTGGAAAGTTTCGAACATCTCCGGGTTCTGTTGATGATCGTACGTAGATCGAAAATTCTGGAATTTGACGCTTATATATCTTTTAATTATCAAGGATAGGGACAATCTCGAATTCAAGAGTCGAATAGGCTTTAAGGCTTAGATGCAGCTTGCACAAGGTGGGGAATGCTGAGAGTGAGTGCGTTAAAGAACTTCACATATTTCCAATTCATATTTCTCTAGTGTTTCTATAGTTCCTAATGTTCCTAATGTTGTTATAAGCTTTATTTAGTAAGAAGGCAAGGAGAAAATAGGATTACGTTAAAAATAAATGTAAGAATAGCACAAAAAGAAAGAGGAAAAACCCGTGACATCATTTTGTGGGTTCATGAAGAAAAAAGTTGCTAGTGTACAAGAACATTAAAGATAAATACACACACGCATACATATTAGGTCAGACAGAAAGACGAAAAGCAAATAAATAAATATCAGTTCCTAATGTTCGTATCAGAGACCGTCGCAGGACAGGGCTGCCCTGTTGCCCTGTCCTACCGGGCAGAGCGATATATTTTTGTTGCCCTGCCCTGTTACAAGGCAGGACAACAAAAAATTCCTTGATTTGCCCTGCGAGAGATTGATTTTTGAGATTTTCAAGCTTCTTTTTAAGAAAAATTTTGAGATCTCTCGTATATGTGAAAATAAAAATGACAGCTAACTTTTCTAAAATTGATAATTAATAAAAAAAAGATTCTGTTACGCACGAGAAACACATCCAGTATTTGTGATGAGTTTCTTGAAGATAAAGTCTTCTGGGTTAAGGAGAAAAACTTTCTTTTGCAGTGCGGGGCGTCCTGCCAAGCCAGTGAGGGCAGGGCTAAATGAGTAATTTTTTGAGAGGGCAGGGCGGCAGGACAGGACAGAGCGAAAAAAGTTGTCCTGCGACGGTCTCTGGTTGGTATAGTTCCTAATGTTTCTACTGTTTTTATTCTTCGTTTATACTACGCAAAGTTCCTAATTTTTTCATACTTTACCAACACATAATTTCATTTGACAGCACTCGCTCTTGCGTATTCATTATGTATTAAACATTGCTAAAATTTCAAAACTAGCTTTTTCTAGAAAAAAATCGTTTTTCGCAGCAATAAAACAATATAAAAAAGGTCTCATCGTATTTTTTTTCTTTATGGTTACATAGTTATACTCAGTTTTGTACCGCTCTCAACATGTTCTGAGAAATCCGCTTCATTTCTGCACAGAATCTGTTAAAATTCTGCTAAAAATCTGATACAAGTTTACAGTCTGCAGGCAGATTCTCCAAAGAAATTTGTAGACGCGTTTTGTTTAGGTCAGAGACATCTCATATGATTCAGACAAGTTTGGTCTTCAATTCTAGATGTTGGACAATTTCGCACGTTTGTTCGTTGAAAAACTACAAACAAACAAAATGTCGAAATTCTACCCTGGTAGTAGGCTTACATGACCGCGCCGTACATCTTGTTTGATCTGTATATATATAGATAATCAAGCGGAAGACATACAATGAAGGAAAAGTTTGACTCATGCCTATTATAACTCATTAACTACTCTATTCGAGCAGTGGTATAAAATGAATGGGCAATGAAGCAAATCATTATATATACAAAGAATGAAAAAGCAAAAAAAAGCATCGTTCTATATCTTCTAACAGCACACGTTATGTATAATTGCAAATGTTTTACATTCTCTTCAGTTTGTGAGAAATGTCGTACTACGAACTTCGATCATCAAAATATACTCCTGCTTTCATAAAGATGTATCATGAACATACTAAACATATAGTGGCCTTCTTTTAAGATATTTATTTGCCTGATATGAAGTCATTTTACAGAAAATTTAGTCGATGGAATTTTTATATGAATTCATTAAACTTAAAAAATCGGCGACGTTTAAAACGCTCATTCACATTTATTATCGCATTTGTTATTATAGTTTTATATATTGATCGAAAACACTCGAGAACATCTTCATTAAATTCTGATTATCCAAAAGGTGATGATCCGCCAGTACAATACAAAATGGACAATACACACAAAATGAGTGCAATTTTTAATATGGAATTTATAAATCCGTCACATTTAATGTTTAATTCGTTTGGGCACCACTTTGTTCCAGTTATCATTTTATCAAAAGCAGCTAATGCCGAAGTACGTGATGCTATTCGACGAACATGGGGAAGTGAAAGAATCTACAATAACACATTATTAAAATCATTTTTTTTTGTTGGCACTGATGATTTTACTCTTCAACGTGTTAAAATGGAACAACTCGTATTTGATGATGTTATTCATGTATCGATTCCCGATTTGTACACATTTTCTGCTTATAAAGAATTGGCTGCGATGTATTGGGTAAAAAAGTATTTACCAATGGCAAAATATTTTATTAAAACAGAAGACGATACAATCATTAATGTACCGACACTTGTTACTAAAGTATTACCGCATATTAATACACGCGAACAAACTATCTATGGTTGGTTTGGTAAGAATAGTATTATTAAACGTAGTCCAGAATATCAAAAATTTGTAGACGCTCTTGTACCACCATCAGATGATTTATTCTTTGCAGTAAATTTATGTTACATTGTGACAGCAGTAGCAATCGATATGATGTTAGAAACATTAGGTAACATTGAATTTATCGAGTATCCCGGTGATTCATTTGTAACGGGTATGTTACGCGACGCGGCTAAAGTTAATATAACCAGTTTTGATTTCAATGGTCATAAATATCGTTTTCAAGTGGCTAATGGCAAATGCATGCAAGTGTTCAGGCAAGACCCACGTTTATTATCGTGTACAACATCACTGCATGCTGGCTCATTGAGATCAATGCCAGAATATTTTGACGCATGGGATGTGATTATTAACCAAACAAATTTTATTGATTAGATTCAGACTAGGATATATATACAGATCTAGCTATCTCGGAGTCAGATGTAGATGGATCAAGAAATAATATCGAAAAGTTGGATATCATATAGCAGATGAAGGAGAATGCAGAATTAAAAGAGAATGTGTATCTCACTGTAAATAAAAGACGTACGTGGCTGTGTAACTTCAATAACTCGGTTGAACTCTTCATTGTTCAATAAGTCAAAAAGTTAGTTTTTAATTTTATTTGATCTTCTAATCGCAAGTCGGAAGAAGATAAAGACGAACCTTAGAATCTCATCTATAGATGTTTCCGTAAAATAACCATACGCTGTATTCATTTCTAATTGAAAGTATTGTTCGTTTGACCTGTTTAAACTATATTCTACTCAAGAGAAACTTTTATGTTTGTAGTTCTTAAAACCTATAATCACTAAGAATTGTGTAGCTAGTTCTTGAGTAATATAAATTTATTTTTTAATTTTGGAAAAGTTCCTCTTAATCGTTGATAAATAAAAAATGGCCGGTTACCAGAATAAAACTCAGAAAACAATAAGTATAACTAAAAATTTGGCGTCGATGGATTTGTGGGTGCTGTCTGTAGGTGACTGTGGGTATCTTAATGTTTTAATATTATATATCAATGATCATGTTGGAAGAACAGAAAAAAAAATCTTGTTAGTCGGAATATTCCTAGGAAATGAATCACTTATATTTCTTGCCACAAGAAATGACAAGAAACACTTCCTGCGCAAGAAATGTCCCAACACCTCTCGTTCTTAGTATCAAGAACTTCCACTAAGATATCCTAACCGGTATTTTAGATTGTTTCGAACTTCGAGTTCTATGGATTATAATAGTGATGATGGCAGAAGTCGTTTGCTTGTTTGCTTACTTATGAAACACTCTCACACGTAAGAGTAGTTATGATCTGCAGATCAAATAGATACGGACAAAGTGCAGTCTCATCGAATATATCTTGGCACTTTTTGGTCAGGTACTTTTTGACGTTTTTGACTAAGTAATTTGCAAAAAAAGGTCAGTATGTACTGATACTCATTACCATTGGTGCTACACTGAAATTTTTTCTCTTATTGGAGAAGTGCCGCACTGATTCAAAAAGCAGGATCGATGACGCACTCTATTACTAGGTAGCATGCATAAATCCTTCGAATTTTTTGGTTTCATGTAGGTATTATGTTGGATAAAATATATTGATAGCTTTATTTTACGATAAATATCATGACATCATGTTTTTTCTAATTACTTAATTGACGCAAACGTCAAGGCTATCCTTCTCAATACTTCTAGGTCATAACTACTCTTACATGTGACATCAGCCTTGGTGATTTCTCACTTTACTAAATTTTTATTCTGAGATTTCTGTACAGTCATCATGAGCGAGTGGATTCTGATCCGTGAAACTAATTAGAATGGTTCTTCATCAGATTGGTACCGATCAAACTGATAGCAAACTGAGAAACAAATCGTTCTAATTCAGTTGAAATACCATATATTATTAGTGTTTATTCTATTGTGACAGACTATACCATATCTGGTTTAAAAACAGAGTATGTTATTTTTTCGATCTATCACAACGTACTCTAGCATTCAGTTGCCTGTAAGATGCGTGAAAATTCATTGTGTCATCGATGTATCAAAAAGTGGTTGAATCAAAACGTTCTCGAGAAATATGTCCGTTCAAGTGTGGTTGGTTTGAACAAGAGTGCTCTCCTCTAGTGACCATAAATAACTAGGGTTAAAAGTTGAATGGTCGAATAGACTAAATGGCAAAATATAAAACTATGGTACAACATGAAAGTAATTGTAATTTTCAGCTCAAACCATGTAATAGCTGCAGTGAAGAAATACAGAAAAAGACATGTTGGAAATCGGAAATATGGAACAAAAAAATACTACTAAATCATTTATAATTTTCACAAGTATTTTCATGATCATATCAATATTAGCGGTTTTAGTTTTTATTGGAAAATGATGGAATATTAAACAACAAAAGAAAGAAGAACACTCACCAACAACACGAACCAGTCCAATTAGCTAAGAAATCTACAAAGTATTTTGTTGACTAAAGCATCTTTTTGTGGGTTCAATATAACTGCTTCCACTTTGGTGCTTCCAAAGTTTCCTTTTTTGTAGATTTCAGGAATTTTGCTAATCTCTAGATGGTGGAGCCACATATTTTTTAGGCAAACCTTATATACTCAGAAAGTTAGTGCATCAAACCATTGGTTTATTTTAAACAATATCAAACTACCACTCAGAAAAACTTGAAGTGGCTATAAAACGAAATCGATCTTTAACTCTGTTATAAATGATTCATCCATAACAGTTCGCGTAACTAGGGTTAAGCGCTAATAATAGGTTTCAATTTGTTTCGTTGTTGTTTATCGTCGTCGTATGGCTTTAAATGTTCCATTAATTGTTAAACATGCACAAAATAACCCGATTAATAGAAGAAACAATCCAATAATAGCTAGAATTGCGATGCCACCAACGGTAATTAACCATACAATTAAACTAACCAATAGACAAATACCAACTATGCCAGAAATGATAATGAGACTCATTTTTGGTCTTTTTTATACATTTTATTTGTACATAGTGAGTCAAAAGATATGCGTATACTTACTGATGCATGACAGAACACGTGTTTTTTTTCTATCCTGGCATATCAAATCTTCATTCTAAGTCTCCTCATTTATTAGCTATATAAAAAGAGACGTGAAAGTTTGTGTTGGAGTAGAAGTTGCAACGACAACTTGAAAATTTGTTCTTGAAAAAAATTGTAAATATGTGCTACAAAGCTGTTAGAAAACGGCCTAATAAGTTTTTAACTGTACTGTTTCTAATCGTGAACTTGAAACTTCTTTTGGAACCTTTGTTAAAAATTGCAAATTCCAATTATCCAAATTATCTTCCCCTCGCCTTATCACCCTTACTGATTTTTCGAAAAATTTTCAAAATCTTATCACATCTTAATAATAGCTTACGATATGACTAATATAGTCTTACGTAGTCACGTCGCGCATACGCCATTCGTTGGCGTTCGCGGTAAAAGTAGCGTGACTCATTTACTGATATTAGATGGAAAACGCGAATAAATAGTAACTATAGTAAAATACTGGAGAGTCATTGATTTTTGTATGTGCGCGAAAAAACAGCCATCGCTAAAAATCGTGTCGTATTTCGCGATTCTTACAACGAACGCATTACGCGATCCTGCCGCGAATTTTTAAAGAGACTCGCGTCTCTATATTACTAAAATGTTATGTTATGAAAATTGATCACCTATCTAATCGAAGTTCTTCTTAGCGTATATGACTAAAAATGATTTATTGATCAAAACACACTATGGTGGCAACATAGTAACGGCAGCCTCAGCTATCTTATAACCATTTGGAAAAGCGGGTTTTTATGGTCATAATCGAACTGAGAACGCAAGAAAACCTATAGGAAGTTGTTTTTATCAAAACTCAAATTTAAAATACTGAGATAAAACTCAAGCATAGTTCATTTTTAAATAAAGTTCAATATCTCGTGAACCTTACATGGAACATTCTTCAAAGTTTTAGAGAATATTCATGTCCCCCTCTATAATAATAACCGTAAGCTTTTTTTGTCGAAAAAAGGGAGAATAGATTGTCAAATTAATTGCGAAGCTGATCAATTCACACTGATAGTGGCGCCGAATCGAATAATTTTGCTGAAAGAGTAAAAGTCATTTTTCTCGGGTCGGGTTTCTCATGAAAGTTTCAAAGGAGTTTAAAAGGATCCATCTTCAGTAGCATCTAATATTATTTTACACTTTTAAAATTAAATTTAGAATTTTATTTTCTGGTGTATGTGATCTTGTAAAGTGAGAAATTCTACATCTTCTGATATAAAATGCATGGCTCTAAATTTCCAGTTTGAGGGCAAAATGCCGATAATATGGATTTTCTACGTAGTCAGTCAATTTAGGGCTTTTCCCAGGAGGAAATTTTGGACCTTCGCAGGCATTAAAAAGTTTTTTTCCCCTTTAAGGCCTGAAAAGCCTCCTTTTGTCACATTTTAAGGCTTTAAACGACTTGAGATTTTTAACGTGTTCTCTGGAGTTACCCATGTGCACTGAAGACGTTAGAATGCGTTATTTTGATAAACGTCTATAATGTATGTGAAATTTTAATGCATTGTAACGTCTTTAGAAAACGTTTCAGGCTCTGACGCTTCTTAGGCGTTATAAAAACAAGGCGTTCGAACGCCTTACCGTTTCTTAACTGATTTGAATTCATATATCAAGTGGAAGGCATTAGCAGAATTAAAATTCTGAACGTGTTTCCTCAAGTTAAGGCTTTCAAGGCACGTAAAGAACTGTTTGGCGTCGTCGTCATTTAATACATGGGAATGCGCTAAAAATCAAAACATGCTAATTCGTTCCAATTTTTCGTAGGAACTTAAACCCATTATGCCGTCTCTTTTGTTCTTCAATAAGTCTGAACACCTTAACTATCCATATCGCGAACTTCTTCGCATGCATCAGACAGTACGAAGGTAGGCAAATCCATATGAAATGTCCGATCATTACACCAAATTTCTCCGCTTCATTTAAAACCAATTTAGTTTTATAGAGCACATCGAGTTACGTAAGGAACTGTCTTTTCTGACTTCATAGTTGATGCAAGACCCGAGAAAAATGACTTTTACTCTTTCAGCAAAATTATTCGATTCGGCGCCACTATCAGTGTGAATTGATCAGCTTCGCAATTAATTTGACAATCTATTCTCCCTTTTTTCGACAAAAAAAGCTTACGGTTATTATTATAGAGGGGGACATGAATATTCTCTAAAACTTTGAAGAATGTTCCATGTAAGGTTCACGAGATATTGAACTTTATTTAAAAATGAACTATGCTTGAGTTTTATCTCAGTATTTTAAATTTGAGTTTTGATAAAAACAACTTCCTATAGGTTTTCTTGCGTTCTCAGTTCGATTATGACCATAAAAACCCGCTTTTCCA